TGCGCGGATTTCGTGTCTCAGAGCTCTGCGCGGATTTCGTGTCTCAGAGCTCTGCGCGGATTTCGTGTCATTGCATTTGTTGCCTTTGATTGCCATCTTCAGATTCACTTCATTGTTGACATTCTTATTTGTGTTCAATTTGTGGAGGAAGTAGGGCCGGAGTAGAGTCAGTCCTTCGACTCTGTCAGACTGTCATGGCTTCGGAAGCTCCAGAGTCATCTGCGGCAACAGCTGCTGCAGCAGCTCCCCCTGATGATGCCTGGACACACAGCGTCATGGCTGTGGATGATGATGGTGCCCAGAGCCAGGTCATGGCTTCGTGTGAGACTTGCTTGGCACAATGCGGCGGGCCGAGTCAATACCTTCAAAGGTATTTGCGGACTGCAGATGAGGGCTTTGAATTCATGGAATGGTTGAGGGAGCAATTTCCGGAGCAAGATGGCACCCTCTACCACCAAGAAGCAAAGTTGCCGTGCTTCAAGGACAGTTCAGACTTGGCTTGCGCTGCTCCCACTTGTGTCCATGTGTCTTCCTTGGGGTTCACGAGCAACTGCAGCCTCAAACCTGGGCCTGGGGCGGGTCTGGCAACCTCTTTGCTCCAAGAGTTTCTCAAAGATGGCTTTGTGACTGCTGGTGACCCGCTGTTGGTTTTGCAGCATGAAGCTTGCGTCGCGCCTTATGGCTTGGAGAAGGACAGTAGCAAGCTGCAGCCCTTCAACTTGGCCTACCTGAAAGGTTTTGCCAGAAGCACCACTCTGCTGATGCTCCTTCACCGGTGCAAGGCTCTTGGCTTGAATGGTTCTTCGCCGGGACTGGCGCCGCTGTGGTCCTCTGTGACGAGGATCTGGGTGCATTGCATGGAGTCTTCAAACAGAATAGATGAGGCTCTGACGAACATGAAGCTCTCCAGCCGTGGATCCCTGCGGAAAGCTAACAACTTGATTCAGCTGGTCTTTATGCTCCAGAACCTCAAGTCCCTCGGCCTATCAGACAGCTCCTCCTTTGCGCAGCGTTGGAACAAGATGTCCAGCAAGACATTTCAAATTGTCGGGAGAAAGGCGTCAGCTTTGAAGTTGCTTTTGGAGCAAACGCCTCAAAGTGTTCTCACTTTGATCTTGGACCATGTAAACATGCATGGTTGGGAATCGTGCGTGTGGAGCGACGACAACCTCGGTAGCAAGAAGATATTTTCCGGCTTCCAGTTCAGCTGCTCCAAGAAGTCATGGCTCCCCAGGCTCCGCACTACGGATGAGTCCATGATGTTGATGGTGAAATTTTTGCAAGCTTGCCACGAGCAGAAGGCTAGCTACATGCGAAAGAAACCCGATACTCAAGCAGTTGAGGACGCAGCCGTGAAGGCAGCCTTGTGTTGGCATCTTGGCCAAGAACTGCTGCAACAAGTTCCCGTTGACCCCAACAAACTGCAGGCTGAATGGTATGACAATTTCGCTTCCGGGGAAAACTCTGTGGATGGCGAGCTGCAAGCTTTGCTCATGGACAAATCCGACACCTTCGACGTGAAGCGCGATTGCCCCTCATTGCGCAAGCTGGTGGAAGACCACAAATTCTCGAAGCCAGTGGCCATGGACACCGTGGAGGAAGTCTCTTTGCAGGTGGACAAATTTGCTTTGATCATGAAACAGCTCAAGTACGATGTTCAGGTCTACACCACATGGACCCGCAAGGTCTCCAGTGTCAAAAGCGCTCAAGAGCATCAGAGGCATATGTGGCTTTTGGAACGTCGCAAGAGATGCCTGGCAGTGGCTGATCAGTTTCTTTCCCGCAATGTGAAGCTTCTGGTGTGGCAAAAGAAGGTGGAGCTCGCAATCGCTGAGATCATGAATGCAAAGCGAGATGTGACCCAAAAATTGTCAGTGCCTGCGGATGAGATCTACACCTTGGTTTGGTGGAATGTCACGTCTCCATGCTTGAT